TCCTGTTTTGGGTGCCCTGGGCTCCTGGTTTGGGTGCCCGGACTCCTGGTTTGGGTGCCCTGGGCTCCTGGTTTGGGTGCCCGGGCTCCTGGTTTGGGTGCCCTGGGCTCCTGGTTTGGGTGCCCGGGCTCCTGGTTTGGGTGCCTTGCCCATCCTGAGCAGATTCTGCACTCCTGGCTCTCCCCATCCTTCCCAAAGCTCCTTCTGCCAACCGGGGGAGTGCAAAATGCTGGCAAAAAAAAAAAAAACCAAAACAACTCTGCTGGCCAGTAAATGACTCTGCTGGGCTGCACTGACAGTGGTGTGGCAGGAGAGGAGCTCTCCAAGGGCAGGTTGGACACGGAGCTGCATTTTGGGGGAGCTGTAGGTGCTCCCTAATCCCCAGGGAGGAACCAGCATCACTTGGAGAGGTGACCCCAGCACAGCCCCAGCGTCCTCTCCACTGCAAGCAGGGCAAGCAAGAGAAAAAAGCTCGGCTGGGGGCGTTGCTGAAGCAGGAGGCAAATGGGAAGCTGGGATGTTCGAGCTCTGGAGTCTGGGATTTGAGCGAGTCTGCTCCTGGACCTGCTCAAAGTGTGGAGCCTTTAGTGCAGCTTTGCCTCTCTGTGTCTCATCCTGTCAGAGCAGAGATCCTTGGGGTTTGTGGGCTTTTATTCCTTGGGGTTTGTGGGTTTTACAACTTGGGGTTTGTGGGTTTTACTCCCTCGGGTTTGTGGGTTTTACAACTTGGGGTTTATGGTTTTACTCCCTGGGGTTTGTGGGTTTTGCTCCTTGGGGTTTGTGGTTTTTATTCCTTGGGGTTTGTGGTTTTTATTCCTTGGGGTTTGTGGTTTTTACTCCTCAGAGTTTGTGGGTTTTACTCCTTGGGGTTTTTACTCCTTGGGGTTTGTGGGTTTTTATTCCTTGGGGTTTGTGGGTTTTTACACCTTGGGGTTTGTGGGTTTTACTCCTCGGGGTTTGTGGGTTTTACTCCTTGGGGTTTGTGGGTTTTACTCCTTGGGGTTTTTACTCCTTGGGGTTTGTGGTTTTTACACCTTGGGGTTTGTGGGTTTTTACTCCTTGGGGTTTTTATTCCTTGGGGTTTGTAGTTTTTCCTCCTTAGGGTTTGTGGGTTTTTACACCTTGGGGTTTGTGGTTTTTCCTGCCCTGTCTGGTTCTCCCAGCTGTGTGATGGAACCCTCTCACCCCACCAGGGCACAGAGGAAAATCCTCACTGCCAAAGGAAAATCCTCACTGCCAAAGGAGCAATCTGGCTGGGATTATTTCCAGCACCAGTATTATTCCAGCACCAAATAATCAGCACTGGGATTATTTCCAGCACCGTGGGACAACAAGCACCACTCCCAACCCTAAAATCACATTTTTAGGCTACCCCGTGCTCAGTCCTGGGAGAAGGGTGACCCCGCTCTGAGGAAAATGATTTAAAATGCCTTCAGATGCCTTTTCACTTCTTTTTATTTAATTCCATAAATATTTTCATAAGGCTCAGTGTCTTTACAACACTTTTTTTAAACACTTTTTTTTGTTTGTTTGTTTTATACACACAACTTTGACACTTGTTTGACAGGGTCAAACAGTCCAATATAAACAAAATAATAAAACTGGCAAGTGCGGATCAGCTGGGTTACCAAAATCCTTTTTTTCTTTTTTTTTTTTTCTTTTTTTTTTGCTCTTACTGTTAAAACCCCAAAAGCACTAAAATATCAGTATTTGGCTTCAAACTAGAATTTTAAAAACCTTTTTTTTTTTTTTTTTTTTTTTTTTAATTCTCTGCTACAAGTCCCTGTCGTCATAGTGCCTTTAAGCTCCTACAGACTCTTCTTTTTCTTCTTAAGGAAAAATAAGCTTGGTGATGCCATGCAGAACTTACAATAGCTACTAAATATACATGTTCCCTGAAATGTAGCTGCAATGAAAAGATGACAGAGCATAAAGAGAACAAAACCAGAAACCCAAAGCACCACAGTGTACTATCAATAACATTGCAATGGACGGCTGGTGCCCATCCAGAAACTGAAACAAATTTCAAATATATTTCTCTATGTAGTATTTTCTATTTACAACTGGTAGATGCACCTAGGTTGGTTCTTGTTTGACTTTTTGGAGAGGGTGGGGAGGCGAAAATCTTGAATTTAGATCCTCTGTTCTAGTGTTTAGGTTAAGGGTAATGCATGTCATTTACCTAGGGAAGAGGGTTTCTTTGTATTTTATATATATATGTATATATATATATATAGATTCAGCCAGAGAAATACCGTAAACATGTAAGTTTGTTACAACTCTCCTTTTTTGTTTTTTGTTTGTTTGTTTGTTTGTTTGTTTTTTTTCTGCATATGGAATGGGAAGTGGGTTCCTCCTGTCTGGCACTGGGATGCAAAGTCTGTACCAGATGCTCAGTCAAGTCACCCCCATGTGCTCCCAGCGCTGTCCCAGCTCCAGCCCAGCCCCTGCAGGGGCTCAGGGGCACCCAGTGCTGCCTCTTCTTTGTGCCAATGCTCCATCTCCTGCAGCACCTTGGCAATTTATGGAGGGCAAGAGCTTTCTTGAGGGCCCCCACGAGAGCCAAGCCCCTCCTCGTCCCTGCAGGCTTCCCACTTAACAAAGAAGCTGCGAGTCCAACAAGTGGCCTTGTCAGATCTTGATTTATGATGCAAATAATGGTGTGGCGGTGGTGTTTCTTTTTTCCTAGTGCTGAATATTTAGGAAGCATCTTCTCATAAAAATTATGGATGTCTCATTCTCACTCTCTGAGGCACAAAACAGTAAATGAACAGGCTTAACTAATGTGCTTTTTTTTTTTTCTTTCCCTAAGCAATTAAAAAGGCAAAAGGAGTAAGTTGAAATTTTCATCATGTTGACAACATTTTGGAATCTCTCTCTCTTTCTCTCTCTCTCTCTCTCTCTGCCTCTCTCCAGCCATTCAGAAAGAGTAAAACATTTCAGTTAACTGACGAGAACCCATCTCATGCACTGCTTTAAATACCCATTCTGTTAAAGAAACAAAACAATATTTGCTATGTACCCCATATTAAAATCTAGCCATAAAAATGCAAAGATACAAAAGAGCATAAAAATAATTTCTGATATAAAACTGGGTTGCTTCCTATTTGGGATTCCTGGTGTTTGCCTGCTGCCTGTCACAGAGGGGCCACTCCTCCTCTCCAAAACACTAATCTGGCTTTGCTGGTTATTGATAGTTTCTGGATTATTCAAAAGTGGAAGGGGGATTTAAATAAAAATAATGCCGCCCTTGTGATATGCCCTGAAATAAAACAGGCTCCATGGAAACAATGAAATCACACTCTCTGCTCTTCCCATTCACTTGGATTTCTTAGGGGAAAAAAAAAAAAAAAGATAAAAAAAAAAGAAATGTATCTCCACACTCTTTGTCCTGGGGTGCTTATGTGCTGGATCAGATTCCAAAGAAAATGACAAATACCGTGATCAATCACTTTATCCCACTTTTTCAAAGGAGCTTGCAGAATAGCTCTGCAAAGATTTCAAGTTCATCTTCTAAATCTGGTTAAACAGTCTCATTTGCCCTAGGAAAAAAAAAAAAATCATCCTCCTCCTGACAACGGTCTGTTTTACAAGCTTAACCATAAGCTCCTGCACTTGCAAACAAATGTACTTAAGGCTGAAACTGTAGGAAGGGCCTGGAAAAACAGAGCTGTGACTCTCCCGAGGGAGAAAAAGAGAGAGAAAGAGACCTGGAGGGCTCTGGGAGCCACGGAGGGGCCGGGACTGGAGCAGCAGCAGCAGCAGCTGGGACTGGGCACAGAACCACGGGGACAATGCCCAGTCACAGCCAGAGCTGCTGCCAGCTCAGGTGGGCACCCCCAGGGCTGGGCTGGCATCCTGGGCTAACAGGGCACAGCTCGGGGGGTTCTGCCGGGGGGTGGGCACTGAGAGCAGCCAGGGGGCTTCACTTTGGGGTCACTGCTCCTGCAAATGGCAATTAGTGCTTCCCTCGTTAGGGTGCTGCTGGGCAGGCTGAGCGTGCCCAAAGGATGGGACCTTAGTTCCTGAAGACACAAAACTTGGCTTGTGGGAGCCTCGGAGCCAACTTTCCTCTCTGCAATGGAGGCGTGAAGCCATTGGGTTTTTAAGCTTTTATCTTTGCATGGGAAACAAAGATAGGAGTGGGCTTTTCAAGTGTCTCAGCTTGAAAAGAAAAGAAATCAAAGGTAAGCCCACAGAAACAAAGCAAAAAAGAAGAAAAGCCCCTGATTCTCTTTTCTCCGTCTTACTCCGGGTGTGAACAAATCACACCGAGCTGAGAAAAAGACAAGTGCTTAAAAAAAACGCAAAAAAAAAAATTAAAAAAATGAGGAGAACCCATCTCTCACTTCCTAAAGAGCTGCTTGCCCTTCTGCTGGGTTTCACCTGCCCACGAGAGAACAGTTAAAGCCAGAGAAATACTGCACAGCAGAGCGGGAGCACAGGGAGCACATCCAGACAGGCACAGGGGATGCAGGACAGGGACAGCCCCGGGGAGGGACGGACAGGGAGGGAGGGACAGGGAGCAGAGACCTCCCAGCACTCCAAAAAAACAAAACAAAACAAAACAAAAAAAAACCGAACAAACAACACCCCACCCCCCCACCATAAATAAAATCAAAGAAAATATACACCAATGTAGTCCATGAGAAAGTTCCATGACGGAGTCACACAAGCGAGAAAAGCGTTCTGGGATGCCAATGACGACTCGGATGGAAATGAAGGAAAACAGGGACCAAAAAAAAAAAAAAAATCCAACAACGAAGAATGTCCAATCAATGGAGTAAAATAAAATAAAACAGGTCACATGGTTAGAAATCATTGGTGCTTCCTAGTGTCTAGTAGCAGATTACTTCCCAAAAACAACAAAAAAAGTTTTTGGTCCTTCTATATATATACATATATGTATATATATTATTATTTTTTAAAATGTGTGTATACATATATATATGTATATATATTTAGTTGCAACAGTGCTTCTCCGAAAAAAGGTCCATCTATAAATATAATTTTATTTATTTTTATTTTTTAAATTTTAGTTCTTTTAAGTTAAAATTCTCCATCTCTCTAGGTATTATTTTTTGAATGGTGTTAACCTGCTGAAGTTTTGCCAGAATGGTGCCTGGCTGCGTCTGGGTTCGGTGAACTCGAAGACCTGGGACTGGGATATGCCATCTGTCACCATGTATTGTCCCTGATTTAATGGATCCTGGGGTGGTGGGTAGGCTGGAGGAACCGACTTGGAGTAGCTCACACCTGCATCGATGATTGGGGGGAAAAAGAAACAGATCAGTCAAAGAGCAATCGGGTCAATCGTCCTTCTTCGTCATGCTACTGCTCCTCATCCTCCTCCTCGCTCCACAACCGGCTCCCACACGCCAGGACGTGCCAGGGCTGCCAACCTGCCTGACCTCTCAGCTCTGAGGCTGCTCCCTGTGCCAAAGCTCCGAGCCTGGCACACAATCCAGCAATCCATTACTTTTGCCGGGCACGTTCTGCCCGCCCTCATGGAAAAGTCCGGTGTGAGGCAGGAGAGCCGGGACCCCACCGAGGCCAACTCGTCCCGCTGATTTTTATTAACGGGTGCTGATCCATCTCCTGCTCACCCTCCCAGCTCCCAGCTCTCCCTGGACAACAGCCCTGCCCCAAAATTCCCCTCCGAGCAGCCCCAGCACGGCCCCGAGCGCTGCCCGCTCCGATTCCCGCAGGAACGGAGCAGAGCTGCTCCGGGAGAAGCCCTACCCTGCAGGGATAAAACTCATTCTTTAGGACTTTTCCATAGGGTTTGTTCTCAATTCACCAGTCTGGTTTCAGCCCAGGAAAAAAAAAAAAAAAAAAAAAGGCTGCACACAAGGCAGAAAAGGCACATTCTGCTCGATCCAAACTGGTGGCAATGGATGGACTGGCGAGGCTACGCTTTTAGGGTTGAGATGCTCAATTCCCACTCAGGTGAGCAGAGCTCCTGTGCAGGAACGGGGAGAGGGGAACGCTGCCCTCACAGCTTCCCCACGCAGCGAGGGCGCCTCGGCATCCTGCTGGGAAGGATGGTGTGGAAAGGGTGGCTCTGGGTGACTGAAGTGGAACGGGGGGGACGCGTGTCACCACCAAAGCGCAGTGACACAGGCGGGATGTCCTTCCCCGCAAGGACAAGCCCTCCTTCAGCCTCGGGGCAGCGGGGCCGGCTGGAAACCGTGAGTGCAGGAAGGAGAGAGGAGCAGGGCTGTGGAGCAGCTCGCTGTAAGCTCTGGCCATCTCTGGATCATGCAGAACTGCTCTTCCTTCTGCTGGAGGGGACCGTCGCCTCCCCGGGCTTTAACCACAGCAGCGAGGCCACTGTCCCCGAGCAGCTCATCTGGACAGCGGGATGGCATCCCCCACCTACCTCACAGGAGGGTTGTGAAGCTAAATTAATTAATGTTTGTAAAACACTTTGAGATCCTCGGCTGGGAAGGTGCTGGAGAAGGCAAAATACGGTGATTAGCACCCAGGAACCAGAGCAAGGCGTGCACAGCGACGCGGCTCCGACCACACACAGACACGGCAGCGCTGGCCGGGCACGGAGGGCGGCACACGACGGGCACTGACACACAGGGAAAGCCTCACGAGGGCACCCACAGAGCTCTCACCACACTGCTGGGCTGCTCGGGCAGGCAGGACCCCTCTGGGGCAGCAGCTAAGGCGTGTCTCTAGGGAAGGGAATTGATTCGCTTCTCCCTGCTACGGGATTTAGCGAGCGAGGGTGGGAAATCCTCCAGTGGAGATGTCTTGAGTATGTCTAACTGATTTCTCCTTCTTTCCTGTATTTTGTGCGGATCTCTGTCCACTGTAGAGAATAACCAAGATCATTCCTCACAGCGGGCAAAAACTGCTCTGCGATTCGAGCTCATTAATCTTTAATGAATTCATCACAATTAGCATTTCAAACTTACTTGGAGACGTTCTGCATCTGTACCTGCATGCTGGAGCAGTTACCCATCAATGACTTCTCTACTCTGCCTTCCCAAGCTCCCGTCTCCCACCTGCAGAGCCGAGGGCAGCCCCAGAGCTGTGCCGGGGTCACACCTGAGCAGGGGCAGCTGCAGGAAACCTGGCACGGCTTCTGCACCACCCTTGTGGGTACAGAACTCCCAGGAACAGCTTGAATTTCAATCACCGTGTGACCGAAACCCACCCGGGCAGGGCCCTGAGCTCCTCCCTGCCCATCTCTCCCATCCCTTTGCTCCTGGCACTGTCCTGCTCTGAGCTGCCCATCTCCAGGCTGGCCAATGTGTGCCCAGTGAGACCAAGAGGACAAACTCCAGCCCTGAGCCCACCCAGGAGTGCCAACCTTCTCCTGGAGGCCACCAGCCCTTGGCCAGTTTTCCCAGCACAGACTGGTGAGGGATTTTAGGATCTGTGGGAACGTTAGGATCCGTTACAGGTCCCTCACGTGGGAAATAAATCTGCTTTGGCTCTCAGATTGACCAGGAATTACCTCAAAGGCAAACAGTCCTCATGCCACCAAACCTCCTCATGCTCTACAACAGAAGAGCTGTGAATCTAAAGCTGCTGTTGAGGGGGACACAGAAGTTTGTTTTGGTTTTGGAAGTCCTTAAAGCCACCTTGCTTTAGGGACGTGGCCCCATGGCTTTGGCGTCTTGGCTGGGCTCTTTACTGCCTCTAAACCAATGGGAACGAATGTATTTTAATGGTGATACAAAATGCCAGGAAACCTCCCGGATCAGCAAAATGCTGTGCACTTGGAAAGCTGAAGAAGCAGAGAAAGGACAGTCTGGCTGATGTCCACTGACAGTGATGGAGTTACTGCAAGGAATGGAATCCATACTCTGTCTCCTCCAAAAGGGAAAAGGGCAGACTCCCCTGGCCAGATCACTGCCAAACCCCATCCAGTTCTTTCCCAAAACTCCTGAAAAATGTCTGTCCTTGCTTGAAACACACCCATGCACAGCCTGCCCCTTCCCTCAGTAAAGCAGCTCTTCCCACAGCTGCGTGTGGCCCTGTGGATTTGGGCTACTGGCATCAACATCTGGGCTACTGGCATCAACATCTGCCAAAAGCTCCTGCCTGCTTCTACTTGCACGAGCAGCTGAAGGTTTCCCATTTCTCTTATTTATCCAATGGATCAAACCTGTGGATCTCAAGGACATGCACCGTGTGTGGGACATGCAGATAAAATCACAGTGCTCTGGGAATTCCAGAATGCATTTCCTTGTGGAACTGTGAGACAGCACCTTGGTGCCCCAAAAATGACTTCTCAAAAAAATTTTTTTTTTTTTGGACACGCCCATGTCTGGAAAACAGAAACTGAGAGGGAAAGGTTCACCTGACCTGCACATCTCCCTAAGAAAAAGCGATTCTGGGAAAAGTCTGGCAGGCAGGTATTTTTCTGTTCTGCTCTGAAGTGCTTTGCTCCCTCACCAGAACTCGGGGCCATCGTGCAAAATTGTCTTTTGAGGGATATATATTTTTTAAATATGCAAAGCCATAACTCCGCTGCAATTCACCAGGAAGAAACGAGCAAAGCTCCTTTTCCAAGGCAATTTTTGGGCAGCGTGGCGAGCGGAATTCAAAGCACAAAGGGAAGAATCGATGGCAAAGTGACGATTTCCAGGCACAGCAGCCAAGTCCACCCCACGGGCAGAGCTGGAGCTCCTTCTGCTGGATTGAGCCTCATTCTGCAGCTGCACGGAGGGATGGCTCACAGGGAGAGGCTGGGCAGAGCTGCTCACGAGGAGAACAAGAAAATTCCCAGATTCGTAATTTGGCTAGACAAAACTGGCGAGGGATGCTGCGCTGTCACTTGAAATCATGTCTTTTTATAGCACCAAGGCAACGTCACTTGGAGCCTTTCGGATTTCTCAGCTCAGAAGGAAACAATTAAAAAGATTTAAAACTGTCTCGCTTATCCCTTTTAGGTTGGGGGGGCGCTTTTTTTGTGTGTTTTTTTTTTTTGTATTTCGAAGTGTCTCTTGTGTTTGAGGTTACAACACGATTTCAGCAGCAGGTGAAGCATGCTGGTAACCCACAGGCAATGCTCAGGGACTCGAGCACAGGGACACAGCCCCTCCCTGGGCTCACACCACACGGACACAGAGAACACACACACACACCTCCTCCCCAGAACCATGGAAACTTGCCTTACAAGCTGTTTACTCCATCCTCCACACCTGGGAGATTTTCTCTTTATCCTTTGAACAGCAGCTTTTTCCCAGGCTTTGTCCCCACTCTGCTGTGGGACGGTGACATTGCCACCCCTGCTGTCCTGGCCAAGGAACCCTCCAGACCCCTCAGAGCTCAACAGCACCTCAGCCAACTTGCACCTTCTAGGAAATGCTCAAAAACCCCACAAATTCAGGTTCCTCCTGAATGCCCACACGCAGGGAAGGCAGGGATGCACTAATTGTTGTGTGGTTAATTACTCTGTCACAGCAAAGAGTTTTAAGTGAAAAAACGAGCACAACTGGCTGTGTGGGTCCAGCCCTTTGCCCTCTTCAGCACATCTCAACAGAGGATCTCAAAGCACTGCCCCACCAGGGGCTGGCAGAGGTGAGGATGGAGCTGTGAACAGGAACCCTCTGCCTGTCCTGACCAGCTGCATCTCCTCCCTCGACTCAATCACCCAACTTTCACAGCTCCAGAGGAATTTATTTCAGTGGTGCCCCAGCCACAGCCAGGATTTCACTCTAACCCCGGGCATTTCCCGGGAGGAGAACAAGCCTTAGCTCCCTCTTCTAACCACCAACCTCCCTTCTCTGGTCTGGAGGGACAGGGCTGGCTGCAGCTTGAGAAATGCAGGAGGAAACAGTCATCTCATGGCCTGATGTTCCCCAGACAACCACAAAATCTACCTACACACACTGAGCTAACCCGAGCCTCTGGAGTCTATTTATCAAGTCTGATGTCATTAGAGCAGACATTAAGATAATGATCCCTCGTGTGATAAGAAAAGCTAATCGAGGCAAGATGGAATAAATGATACTGGGGCTTTATCCATCAGAGCTGGCTGAAAACTAATTCCTGCCATGCAGTGTTTGTACAGCCTCCCTCTCCTGCAGCAGCCTGCAGGCTGATCTCAGCTCACTCCGTGGTTTCACTGACAGGATTCAGGGATCAGTTCAGCCCTGGAATGCTGCTGCAGCTCCTGGGGAGCAACTCCTTCCTAAAACCCCTCACCAAGCTCAAGGTGCAGGAATATCTGGGCTCACAAACTTATTTCAGTGGGAATCTCAGCTTGTCACTGATGTCATCCCACGAGGGCCATTAACATCTCACCAAAAAACTGCCCCGGGGGATTTGCTCAGCAAATGTCACCAGTGCCATCCTCAGAGCTCCCCCAGACAAGGATTTCTTCCTGATTTGCCTTAGTTTGTAGATCTGACTGGTTCCTGGCAACTCCAGCTGGATTCCTGATGCCATCAGTGGGATGGTGCTCATGGACCCGCAGCAGGGAGCACTGGTGGGGTCTGGATTTTACAAGAAATGGGGCAAACACTGAGACTGCCCTCAATCTGTGGGGAAATATCACCGACAACACGATCAGCTCCCTTCCCTCACCTCCTGTGCTGCGAAAAAAGGGAAGTGACCCTGATTATCCCAAAATGCAAATGCCCCTCTTTGTTTTCAAGCACTTGGGCTGTGGCTGCTCAGGCTCTCGTCCCCCGAGGCTGTTCCTACACGTGTCAATCCACGGGGAAACACGGCGGGGCCACGTCAATCTTGTCAGCAAGGAAGATGCAATAAAATGGGATTAAACAGAGAGGAGGGAGCCTGGTCAGCCCTGCCCTGCCCAGCTGTGCTGCTGGGAGAGCCCCCAGTGCACGAGTGGGGAAGTCAGAAACTGTCTGGGTCAGGGTTTTGATGACATAGTTGGCTGTGAGCTCAAGTGATCAGAAAGGAATAAATTAACAGGAAAATCCAGTGATTCAGAGGGTGTTTGGTGACAGGCCAAGGCAGTTCATGCTGGCTGATGATTTAACCCCTGCTGGGTTTGCATGGCTGAGTGTTCAGGGCAGGTTTAGTCTGAATCTCTGCTTACCTCATCCCAAAGACTGGCCAGGGCTGAAGGCATCTCCTGGGGAAGAGTGCACAGGGCAGGGACAGGAGCTGGGTGTAGTGTGGGGATCAAGGGCTCTCCTGAGGTGGGAAACACCCTCAACTCACACTCAAATCACTTCTTTAAATCTCCACGGGTATTTTCTTTTCCAAAAGTGCTTTAAGAATGGAGTGTCCTTCCTGGAAGGGCCTCTAATTCCCTGACACCACTGGCTGGCAGCTGCCAGGAATATGAACAAATATCCCTTCCATGGACTGGCCGTCCTGCAAGGGGCCAGATGTGCACAGAGCTGGGATCAGAGAGGGACCTGAGTGTTCCTGCAGGCTGCAAACACCACCCCTGGCAGGGAGGATCACAAGGGGCCAGGGAACAGAGTGCCCCTCATGGAGAGAGGAACTCCATGAGATTCTGCTTCCAAACGCTCAGAAATGGAAAAAAATTACCCTGGATTAACCCTGGTTTGCATTAAGGATGGACTGGAGATCCACAAGGGTTTTCTAGGCAGTTTCCACTCCTTTAGTCAGTGCCAAGCAGGGTGCTGGCACCCTTGTGCCCCTTGGTGGGACCAGGCTCTGCCCAGAACCTTCCCTCCTGCCTGGCTGCAAAGGCCTTGGGTTGCTCTTGTAAGAGAAAACAAATCAATTTCTCCCACTGCTTCACTATTTCTAGGAGACACCAGGCTGAACTCTGTTCCCAGCTCCCACAGTGCCACTGAAGGAAGCTGGAGGGCAGCAACCAAGAGGCCAAACCTTGAACCAGTGCAGAAGGCAAGCAGCAGCAGCCAGCCCTCTTCTCTGCCAGTGAGGTGGAGCCAGCACTGCCCACTCACTGGATGTCTAATGGACATAAAGGCCAAAAATTGCTTTAATGCTGTCTTAAGGCACCTGGTCTAACATTGTTACGTTGTACCCAATGCAATAAGGAGTGCAAATCCTGGGATGCTGCCCATCATCAAGGGGGTCTGGCAGGGAGCCTGGCCCTGCACGCATTGCTGGGCAGAGCTGGGAGCCACGGGAGGCTGCTCAGCACCCTCAGCTGGGCATCAAACACCTCTCAAAACACTCTCAGGGTGTTCTCACTTCATCACCTGGATAAAGGTCCTGCCAGTTTAAAAAGCAGAGTTTTAGGTTTCTTCTGCTGCTCTTCCCCCTCTCCTGCTGCAGCCAGCAGAGGTTTAAATGCCTCCTTCTCAAACACATGCCAGCCATCTCCAGAGCAATACTTCTGGGAGGTGTGGTACAACAGTGCATGAAATAAGCAGCAGTTTATACTATTTGAAAAATGTTTTTCTGCTTCACCTCTAACCAAGTTGATTGCATTTTCCATTTCACCTCCTTCACGGCTTTTCTCTCTTCTTTAAGTGTTCTGTGACAGGGGAATTACCATGGTTTCCCATTTAAGAGGTGCAGGGAACAAGTGAGATAATCTAGGAACGAGTCTGTAATAGGCATCCTGTGACACAGGAGCTGTGCTGGCAGCACCTGGAGCTGCTGAGCCTGCTGCAGCCACTGACACCACCCTGATTTAAATAAATAAATACTCCTATTGAATACAGTGACCTCTTCCTCCCTCTGAATGGCTTCCCTGCTTTCCAGGTACAACTGATGCCCCAAAAGCAGCTCCTGTGGTGCTGCAGAGGGCAGAGGCAGCAGCAGCCCCTGGCACGGGCACACCTGCAGCCCCAAGGGCTGCCAAGCTCTTGGCAAAATAAAATGTTGTCAATATCTGTAAAATGCACAGGGCAAGATTTAAAAAATCAGCCACCAAAAGCTCTCAGGAGTTTCCTGCCACCTCTCTCTCCTGAGCAGTGCCAGCAGCTCCCTGCTCTGGCAGCCTTGCACCTCTCCTTGGCTCTTGGGCACAGGACAAACCCCAGAGTAACAAAACTAAGAGCTCTCAGTGTCAATATTGAATTTAATCAACCTGAGACTGGGCTATGATCACCACAGTGTAGGGCAAAACATACAGAGCTACTGTTTTAATGACCCTATTTGTTGTTTTTTTTCAGATTTCACGTCCTAAAACCAACCAGGCTGTGCTGAACTCAGTGCTGGGGTGTGACTGAACTTCTGTCTGGCTCGAGGACTTAATCCCATAAAAAGAACTGCCGGTGCCCCAGCCTAGGCTTGTTCTTCACTGAAGAAATGCTGACTGCTGTTTCAGGAGCTAATGAATTTCATAGTCCGAGAAGCCCAAGATAACAACCCCTCCTTTTTCATCTCAGAGAGAAAGAGAGAGAAAGACAAAGAGAGCAGACAGAGAGCAATTGCTGTGTGAGACACAAGTCCTGTCAGGCAGATTGTGTTTGTCAGGATGCAAGTCCAGTGATTAACGTGGGAATACTGGCAGGCATGCTCAGGCACCTCTGAACTGTGTCCCTTACCGGCTGAACAGCACAATTATTAATTAATACCTCCATTAATTAATAACAGAACGAACTGAGCAGCTAGCAATAACTGACCCTGGTTTTGTCGTGGCAGTCATGCAGGTCAGGCTCTGCCATGGTGCAGCCCTGTGGATGCTCCCGTGCTGAGGGACAGGCATGCAGGTGCTGAGGGGCTGTGACAGGGACAGTGTGAGGCACCTGGGCCTGCTCTGGGTGTGCACACTCCGAGCTTAGAGCATCTGGCCAGGAGAGCTTTTAGAGAACATCTCAGGAGACGACAGAAGAAATCAGTAGAGAGGAGAAGACTGATGACAATGGAGAGACACAGCAAACCAAGGAGTTCACAGCTGGCCTGGCAAACCACTCCTGCACCAGCAAAGCCAGTAGACAACACACAGGTGAGGCAGAAAGCAAAGAGCTCCTTCAGCTTCTGCAAAACCCCCCAAAAACCTGCACAGAGCGGGGACCAACCTGCCTGCACCTGACCTGAGCCAAGCCTTGAGGAGCTCTCTCAAAAGCCACTGGTAGGCCTACATGTGCTAGGGTACTTTGGTAACAGATCAATACATCCATGACTGCGTGAAGCTTTGGAGAACTTGAGGAATGACCTCTCTGACCTTCCCTCTGCGGTGAGAATTTCCAAACCTGTAGCTGCAAGAGTTATTGCCAGAGAGAATCAACGCTGGCCTGGGCCAGCTGAGACTCTGCCTAACAGCAGGCAGGGCATTGCTCAGCTGGCTGCAGCCTGCCTGGCTGGGGAAATGAATCTGACATTCCAGAGATGCAAGGTCTTTACTAAAATACTTTATTTCCTACAGTTGATGCTACTGTGCTGTCTTTAAAAAGTTACAGGCAGCCCCAGGAAACAAGAGTGTCCCTTTCCTTTCCAGCAGCAGGAAAGGGGTACTCCCTCTCCAGTTCCAGCATTTTAGCAATTTTTAAATTTTTTTTAAAATTTTTTTTTTTTTTTTTGCTAATGGGAGACTTTGGGAATTAGCAGAACCTCTACACACCTCCGCACTCACTCCCATTTCAGCCTGAGATAAACAACTGAGATAGATTTCTGCCCCCAGGGACAGCTTCTGGACATCAGACTGGAGACACGAGATCAAATTCATCTCTGGTGCTGTTCCATTGGCTTTCAACCACCTTCGACCAGAGATTAATTTGGCCCACAGATACATTAAGGAAGGATACAAAGCACAAACGGTATTTGATATAAAAAAGAGAGAAGGGAGGGGGAAGTTGAGGGGATGCTGGATCCTAACCCAGCAGGATTCAGCCCAGCCCGCTCCACCCTCACATCACCAGGCACAGAGCGTGTTGCCGGTTACCTTTTTGCTTACTGACTTTCTTTACTGTCATTGCCGCTTGCCGCTTTTGATTCTCAGAAATTTCAAAGCCTGCAAAAGGGAACACGGCAAACACAATTCAGAAGGTTGCTCACAAAGCCTCCTTTCCCTTTGGGGAGGGGGATGCTCTGCACTGTTTGCAAACACGGAATGCTCTGGGTGCTCTACTGAAAAGCAACTCTTTCTAATCTCACTCTGCAGGGGCTGGATGAAAAGTAAGATTAGAGCCATTTTTATTTATATAGTGTCATAAATATGCCCCGGTGCTTTAGAGCTGAGCAGCAGACTGAGCCTGGAGTGACACTGGTCACAGTCAGTTTAGGGGCTGTCACTGGCTTTGCTGCCTCCCCTCTGCACAAAACATCCTTGACCAGAGCAGGAGGATGCAGCCAGGAGACCCTGAAGGTGGATGGCCAAACACTTCCCTCTCCCACACGCCCACGGAGCTCCAGGCTTGACCCATGGGCAGAATTTGTTTATTGAGGGCCAGAAAGAACAGTAACTGAGCTGGAAAGAGACCTATTTATGTCTAGGCCATTTCAATTCTACCACAAAGCAAATGTGGGCTCCTCCACCCATTGGGGGCTAAATTAAGCACTACCAACAGCCTCCTTTCAGATTCATTTCCACATTTCAGATTCATTTCCACATTCCTCACCTATCTTTTCATCTTCTTTTACCATCTTCCTTTCTTCTCTGAAAGCTCTAAGCCATCTCAACTTCTCCTCCAGTTTCTTGGCAAAGAATAAGTGCATTTCCTCAGTCTCCTTGTTATGCAGTTTGAAGGCATTCTTCATGCTGACATTGAAGTCATCATCTCTCCCATCTTCTATATCCACCACTTCATATTTATCCATGTCTATGCGGCCTTTGTAATACAGGATATCCCTCCTGATCAGATCCTGCAAAGGGAAAAGGAGACAGGGATTGGGGTGAGATCTCATGGAGAGCCTGAGCTCAGCAGGGAATTCCTGGGAGAGATGGGAAGAGAAAGAAGTGATGGTGAAAGCTGGTCAGATCCTTCAATTCCAGGGAGAGATGAAAAAAAGTGATGGTGAAACTTGGTCAGACCCTTCAGTTCCTGGAAAAGATGAAGAAAAAAAATAAGTGATGGTGAAACTTGGTCAAATGAGCTTCAATTCTTGGGAGAGATGAGGAAAAGTAATGGTGAAACTTGGTCAGACACTTCAGTTCCTGGGACAGATGAGGAAAAGAAAGAAGTGATGGTGAAAGATCCTTCCAGCCTCCCCTGCTGTGGACACAACTTTTGGTGGCCAAACAGGGCAGCCCCTGGGCAGAGAGAACTGAACACCTCCCTGAGCACAAAGGCACAAAGAAATGCCTGTGAGGAGGGACACATGCCAGCATTTCCCCATGGGAGGTTCTGCTGCCCAGGGTGAGAAATGTGGGGCACAGACCCACACCAGGCTGGCCACAGGCACCAGTCTGGAGCCATCACTGCTCTGGCAGCACAGGGTGCCCGGGCCAGATGTTTTCCACACCCAGATGTTTTCCCTCTGGTGCTCTCTGCCCCTTTCTCCTCAGGGCCCATTTCCCATCCACACAGAGCTCACAGTGAGAAACCACCCTGATTTTCAGCTCAAAGCACTCCCAACCCACCTCTGACCTCATTCCACCCTGAATTTAACCTCTTGATCCAGCTCAGCTTTTTTTTTCTTTTTCTCTCCTTGATAATTATAACCTTTTCAACCAAACCTGTTCATGCTCATCTCCTTTCTCAGTTGGTTTTCAGCAATAGCTCATTTCTCTGTGTAGGGAAGGGAAAAGTAAATTCCCCATTGGCCCCACATCTCTGTGCCTGTTATGTCAGATAACAGGAGATGATCATCAGAAAACAGAATGTTAATTCTCTAGTCATGGCCACACAAGGTGATTCTATTTATTTAAAACCAAATTCAGGAACACACAATCAAGATTTCCTTCCTCTAACCACTCTCAAAAGCAGTATTTAGGTATAGTAAATCAATTTATCCTAAATACCTTTGGATTTTTCAGAGTGCCCTAAAGATAAATGCAATGTCAGAGGATTCATTTGAGAGGAAAAATGAAGGCAATGTGGAGCATTTATTTATTGAAATAATATTTAGCAGTGAGGCTTTTTCAAGATAAGCAGTAGGTATTATTTTAAACAAATTAATCTTGGAAAATAAACTCTACATCATAATGATTTAGCAAACTTGCTCATGAATCTGCCAGACAATATTAACTATCACAAGACTGGCCAGAAACTCACAGGCTTTAAATCCTGACTCCTTCCTTTGGAATGCTCTGGGCAGGGGGGGAAACTCCATTAACAAATATCTTGTAGGAAAAAAAACTTCTTCTGGTGTAGGCCTGAAATAGTGATAGTCCAAAATGTAAGAAAAAGTTATTTCAGGCTGAATAGGCAACAGAAAATCTTTTCAGTCTCGTGCTAACTTAGGAAATTGCTTCTCTGCCTTGGTGCTGTGGAGAGGCTGCAAGAGCCACAGGGAGCCTGATCAGCCAGGTCAGCACCACACAGTTGTGTTCAATGGGAGGCTGGGGCTGGTTTTAGAGAGAACATTTACCTGCACCACCTTCTCAAAAAAAACCCAAAAAACCCCAACTGATAGCACATCTCACAGGAATAAGGATGTGCTCCTTAAATCAGCCTAAAAAGGGGAGCAGCCATTCCCCTTCCCACTGCTGCTGAGAACTTCAGAACCAACCCAACAAACCATGCTCCTGTGAGGATGGATCTGTTTTCATGATTGTGGAGAGATTTTTTTCATGAAGAATCAACAATCACAAGCTCTGAAAATCCCAGGCTCTGTGCACTGCAAATACATTTCCCCCTCTGATTATCCCAATTTTGGCCCAGAAAACACGATGAGCTGTTTTTAATAGTGAGTGCTTTACCAGCTTTGTGCTTCCAGAGGCCAATCCATGGGTTTGGACATGTGTGCCTGAGCTGGCCCTGCCTCTGGTGAGGCTCCTGAGCACTGGATGAGAAGATTGCCCAGGAGTTCCTGGAGGAGCAGTGAGGAGATAACAGAATCCTACAGATGCCTCTGGATTATCAAATGGCCCCACAGGTGAAATGCAGGGCTGGGGAAGCAGCAGCTCAGCTGCACGGGAGGAAACACCACGAGCTGAGCACAGAGCTCCTGCCTGCCAGTCCCACTGCATTTGGAAAAAGAAATTCAATAATGACTCCAGAAGAAAGGAATCATCTCTTCTCCCAATACTTTCCTTCAAAAGAAGGACCTGTCCTCCCTTGTTGGCCATGAACTCCACACTGGTACCCTGAATTTATAATAATATAATTTATAATTTACTTTATTCCCCACACAAACATCTCAGGAGCAGCACGTGCCTGGACATGGAGGACTTTGTCCACAGCTGGTTCCAGGAACTTCAGTCCACACATTAACAACTGTAACTGGATAATTTGATTTTTAATGGGCTCAGCATTTCCTATTATCATTCTCCCTTCTTCTTGCCAACACTCACTGAATGGATATTATTACCCAACTGACTCAATTTTAACACCCATAATATGAGAAGCACACTAATTATTTGATCTGTGGATATTTTATCACAGCTTTTAAAGAATAACAGACACCACTCAGCTCCTTAGTGAAGCAGGGCCCTCTTCAAACATCTTGCACTGTAATTGAGCTCAAGAAAATTCAGGTATTCATCTGGCCTGCAGCAGACAGCAAAAAAGGCCAAACTTTTGTTTTAAGGAGCTTTTTAAGCACGTGGAGAAGAGGAGAGAAATCGAGAGAGCACAGAGGCCATGAAGGGATGCTGCTTGCTGCTCCTCACAGCACTGTCCAGCACAGTTCTGTCCTTTTCTCACCATATCCATGGAGTCAAAGAAAACATGAGATCAAGGAAAGCAGCTGTGAGGCTGAGGAGGGAAATGGATTGTGGCAGGAGGACAAAGCAGATCCATGCACAAAAATTGAGATTTATCTGCTACAGAAGCTGAGAGGAGCTCTGGCTCTGTGAGGACAGGAATGCTGCTCCTGCTCCTGGTTATCCAGGGAGAAATGAGAGAATGTGAATGAGAAAAATGAAGAAATGATGAATCTCTAGGATACAGCTTTGTTCACAGGCTGGCTCTGGTTGTTTGGTCCTGTTTATCATCCTGCCTGTGGCTCAGCCAGGGTGACCACTGGCTGCTCTGCACTGGCCACTGAATGTCACACAAGATTATTTCTTGGAGTTAAATCAGGAAAGAGCAAGAAAATATAAACACCCACCCAAAAAAAAAAGACTCTCAAAAACTCATCAGTGGGGAAAGGCCAAAGAAATGGAGCTGTTTAATCTAGAAAGGCCATAACTAAAAAGGAATGTGCTGTTGGTATTCCAGTATGTGAAAGCTGCTCCTCTTTTAAGGAGGCTGGTGATCAATTATTCCCCATTTTGATTGTGGCTTGGCTTAATTTACCACAAGGGAGAACAGGATTATAAACTTGGGAAAAAACTATTTCTATCTAGAAGAGTAGTTAAACCCTAGAATAGAAAAAAGAGGGAAGTCTTGGGATGGCATTCCTGGGGGATTTTCAAAAGAAGGTTAGACAAACATCCATCAGAGATGATCTGAGTGTGCTTAATCCTGCCAAGGGAATGAACCCTGCTCTCCTGGCGTCCTGCAGCTGGCTGCTGAGTGTTGAGGAGGTGACAGATGGAGCAGGTAGGATGAGCAGGACCTGGGGCAGGGTGGGGATGGCAGCAGTGGCACAGACCTGCAGCCTCTGCAGAGCATCCAGCCCTGCCTGCCTGGCTCTGAAGGAAATTGATGCATCTGGGTCATTTGCACTTATTTGTCTAAATATGATCTTTTTTTACCCTACAGCTTCCACGATTTCCTTTTCTTCCCCTCGCTGAGGTTAATTAAGCTCTTCTGAATAATGCTCTGCAGTCTGTTCACGTAATCTGTACTAAGGATTCACAGGGAAAAGATGAAGCCAGAAGAAGTGGTTTGACAGGAGCACAAAGGGAAGCTCTGACACGTTACATAAGCCCCCCACAGCTCTGCTCTGCCCTGGGACCTGCCTGGGCCACCCCCTCTGCTCCCACCTCCATCACTGTCCCCTCCTGGAAGGGGGAAGGAGACTTTATGGAAAAGCTCCTTTGTGGCCACCATAAGCAAAGCAAGGCTGAGCTTTATTGGAAAACCTGGAAGCTGAGATGGGCTCCCACAATCAATTATGCTCCTGTTGTAATGGATTTAGACACCTGCACCTGTAAATCACTGCTCAGTAGCTCTTTGACTCCTACTTGCCTTCTGTGCTGCTTCTCCTGCTCTCTAGTTTTCATCTCTATTTTTCTCCTGTCCCACTAGTCCAGAGCACAGCTCCTTGTGCCTGTGGGAGAGGAAAGGTCAAATCCCCCCTGAGACACTCAAGGGGAATGTCTGAGGTTGCAATACAGGATGTGACCAAAAGTTTGGATTCTATCCCCAGCTGTTAACCCAGCTGTGGCAGTGATCCTGATCTCTGTGGGGATCTCTGCTGTTCATGTTCCAGCTGTTCACCCAGCTGTGGCAGTGATCCTGATCTCTGTGGGGATCTCTGCTGTTCATGTTCCAGCTGTTCACCCAGCTGTGGCAGTGATCCTGATCTCTGTGGGGATCTCTGCTGTTCATGTTCCAGCTGTTCACCCAGCTGTTGCAGTGTTCTTTATCTTGCCCACAGCCCATCCTCCCTCCAGGAGATCTCTCCTGTTCATGGCCATGCAGTCCCAGGGCAGGGCTGATCAAATTCCATCATCCCATTGGGAGATGCTCCAGCCAGGGCAGGAGCCGAGCATTTCCTACCCAGATCAAAGGGGAGATTTGGAACAGCAGAGCAGCCTTTTCCCACTGCATCCCAGAGGAAAACCAGAGCCTTGCACATCATCCCTGCAG